TGCAGTTAATTACCCGCTTCTGATCGGCGGTCAAATTGTTGTAATCCTCTAGACCACTGTTAAGAGACAGAGCCTCCACAGGATTACAGTCGCTAAAGTTGGAAAGATTGATATTCTGAGAGATCAGTCTATTCCCCAATTGAAACTGTTGCCAGAAGTCTACACCAAATATCATGGCAGTAGTAATCTCTGGAACAACATAAAACTTAATAACTCTGACAGCAGAATTATATTCAATAGGCAAAGAAATACAGCCCAGACATGGCAAATATGAGCCGTCTGCTGTAGTTAGGTTAAAGTTAGGGCTGATGCTTTCAAGCTCAAACCCTAATTCAAAAAAAATGTGGTGCGCTCCCTTACCCAACACAGAGCAAGCTGCACCCGAATCAAGTAACCCTAGAACATTTAAGTTCAGGATCTTAACTACTAAATACGGTCTTATATCATTATCCCGTTTGGTAAACAGGACCCTATCAGAGTGATCATCAGACAGAGAAACTCGCTCCGACTCGACTGGTGATCTTTTAACAAGGCCCTGACTTACTCGTTTTTTGGCTTGGCATTGCATTTCGGACACTCAGGTGCTCTGACTCCCTTATGTCCACACCGGAAACACACCACATCCCTCGACTGTGTACAGCTGGAGGCAGGGTGACCGCCACCACCACAGCGGAAACACTTGTGTGCGCTCGAGGTCGAAGGACGGGCCACTGCTGAGACCTGTTGAGAAGTTTTTTGAACATATTTATTTTTCATATGGTGTAAATCCGAGGTGATCCCACACCTTTCGAAAGCTGGTTCCCGAAATGCCTCAGCCCTAGCACGCGCAAGTTCAAGGCGCTTCCCCAATCGCTTCAGATCAAATATAGATTTTACGTCATGAAGGGCCAATTCCTTCATGTAATCGGGCCTGATGTTGTGCATCAAAATGTCCAGTTGCTCCTCACTGGGCATCTTGCACGAGAGTCTAGAGAACATGGCCTGCATTGTAGAGATGTAGTTGCCCAATGTTTCTGATCGGGCCTGTGTACGCTGTCTGATTTCATTGCGGAGGCGATAATCATAGTCAGGAAGGTCGAAGGTTTCTTTCAGCTCCTCTATCATGCCCTCATATGAGGTGAAAGTCTCCTTGTTGGTGCGGTACCACGACAAGGCCGGACCGTCCAATAGGTCAGAGAAGGCTGTGAGGATCTTATCCTTGGTGACTTCCCGAGCACATCTGAGCTCCTCTAGTCTCTCAATGAAGACACGTACACAAGAAGAGCCATCATATTTTATATTAAAAGAATTTAAATTAACGGGTCTATCCCTTACTATTATATTTGAATTAGGGTCGGAACTGGATGCGTTGGGTCGCGTCGAGCGGTCCCCCCTTACCACAGGTGAGGTGTAACCTATGTGGTCGCGATGAGTAGGATCGGTCTCCTTCTCCGAAACCTCAGAGTCCGAGTCGGTATCTGATTCAGACACTGCCAAAACTTTGACTAAGCGGTCACGGATGCCTATTAGTTCTGGACAGTCTAAACCACACCTGGCTAACCTAGCGAGAAGATAATTAGCCCTCAATGCAACTCTAGTACGACAATTTTTATTCGAAACAAAGTCACCTGAAGAAAGGACCTGTTCCAGCTCAGAGATCTTAGGCTCGCAGACAGACAACTCAGAGGCGGCAACAGCAGGAACAGCGGCGATGGCCTTAATGCTGCCACGCCGGATAAGCCGCAAAGCAGTACGCAGTTCAACTCGCAAGCCGACAACCGTATCCTCCGGATTCGCTGAAATCCCCATGGCAGACAGTTCATTAATAAGTTCATCCTTTTTAAGGTAGTTAATGCATTTACGTAAATGTGCCATGGTGGTTTACAATTTAAATTCGATTATACAAAAATAATCCTAACAAGTTAACAAACCAGTAATGCAGACTTAATGTCTTTTACAGTTCAAAAAAATAAAAAATAATGATATTGAGTAGACTCCTTCACTATCAACAGAGTGTGAGAAGTTTAAAGTAAATTAATATTTAAAAAATATTATAACAAAATATTAAAACATCAAGTAATATCTCAAAGTAAAAAAATATTGCTACTGAGTATATTTCTTCACCATTAAGTGTGAGAAAGCTAAAGCAAACTAATATTTTTAACAAATATTAAAATAAAATATTAAAATATTAAGTAATATTTCAAAGTAGAAACTGAGTATACTTCTTCACTATTAAGTGTGAGAAAGCTAAAGCACACTAATATTTTTAACAAATATTGCAATAAAATATTAAAATATCAAGTAATTTCTCAAAACTTGAGAAGCAAATTCAACTAAAGACAAAGATATTCTTGTTTCACAATTCAAGACACAAGTTATATTATCTTTAGAACATTAACACAGTAATCCAATGAATTGACAAAGTTTAATTATCATAAAAGTTATTTCAACATAAATTTTAAGTAGGGTATGTATATCACAAAACTATTTTATTCTAATTTTAAGCCAAGAGGTTATATAAAAAAAAAAGGAGGGTACATAAAACTTTATAAGTTAAGTTAAGTTTCATGTAAATTACACCAGTAGTACTGGGATAAAAAAACACACTGAATATACACGTATGCACAACTTCACGCTACGGACCTCAAAGGTACGAACAGAAGTAGCTAACACAAAAAAAAAAAGAAGAAAAAAAAACTAGTTAGGCCAAAAAATGTTTCAAACTCACCCGAAATATGTGCAGTAGGAATTTTGAGTTAATTTGGAATTTAGGTGTCTCACTGATTTTCCTTGCCTCAGGGATGATGGTACTATAGGCTGAAAATACAATGAGGGTAAAATTATTACATGCGTACTGCACCCGCACAACCAATTAACGTCCTGGGGAGTATCGGACGGAGGGAAGTGTCTCCTCCAAAGTGAATACCCTCAGGCACCCTCACACAGCACACACACAGAGGTTTGGATCACTGGCCAAACGTTGGTCGCCAATTTGTAGCCGCTTTTCTTCTCAGGCGGACTACTCACCGGCTGACCCAGTGGAGAGATCTATGAGATTACCTCAGGGCGCCTTCTAAGAGAAAAGAAGTGTGTGCGTGTGGGAAACCTACGGGACTCTTTAGAGGAAAACAACTTACACCTCAGTCATACATACATGTATATTTCAAAACAAAATTAAATTTACAATAAAAAAAAATCAGAGGGTATAAAAAAACCGCAGCGGAGCGCGTCAGAGCCGAGCTGATGGTGCTCGGTGCCTCCTCGTCGTCCCTCCAGGAGGTTACTTCCTCTTCCGCCCGAGTCAGCTATTTATATTGGATATGGATAAAAGTTTAACAAATTTGTAATTATAAGTTTAAGTACGTAACTCTTGGGTACGGCTGTCCGCTTGCGTCGTGAGCCGCGCAATCACCAGCCTTGCCAGAGTGTACCAAGAAACTTGAGTCTGTACCAGAAGGCCACAAAAGAGCAAGCACGCCGTCTGAGACTGACCGTCTTGAGCCCGAAATCTGGGACCCTACGAATGGATTAGCACTCATATAATTAAACAGGTACCAGAAACAAATAGGTTTAAGTAGAATTAAGAACATACTCACCACTTTAGTGTGGGTACTTTTGAACAGATAATATATTAAGAAAATCAAATCACACAGCAATCAAAACACTATATAAGATCGGAAGGCACGAGATAGCAGTGTCTCCCGTGGCAGAAAGCTGGACTTATATATCTTCGGTTAACGAAGCTTCCAGAAAATAACCCCTCTTCAACATTTTACTTTGACATTTAACATCAGTGAACACAGAAGATCAAAACTGTAGTTATAAACTACCTTAGATAAATTAAAAACAATGCAACGCGGCTAATAGATGTAGCTTTTAACAAGACCAACAAATGTACAAAAAAATAACTGTTACAAACCACACTTTAAAATGAAAAAGCTCATAATATTTCCCTTTCAACAATGGAACTAAACAAAAATGTTTAATGAGATAAAACTTGAGCGCATCTCACTCACACTCATAGTGAAATAGATGTTCACGAATGAGAGGAGAATAGCGCCCATTTTCCCAACAAATGAAGCGTGGCCAAACCGCAGATTGACCGCAGAGAATGGAGGCAGCGAGTGACAGAATGGCGGCGGTTCAGTAGTAGAGAGTCGCGCGAGCAGCGAACACGCGGCCTCCCGAGCGCGCACGGCCACGCTGACTCATTCGACACAACGCAACGCGACGCGGTAAATACCTGTGCCCGGCGACGACTTAGTTACGTACGCACGCACCGTTCCAAATCAAAATTTACCGAACCGGCTTGCGCGGGAAATATCACCTAATAAAATTCAAGATCAGCTGATGTTTACATATCTCATTTGACTTACAGGTGTTCTTAGAACTTTTTTTCGGAACGTTTGATGCTCAATGGAATGGGCCCCAGTGAACCTTTTGGGAACCGCACTGTGATTCATCTAAAATGACGAAAGTGAAGTTGAAGAGTTCGTGGAGTTACAAACTAGAATGAGCGTCCACTTAAGGAAATAACTGCAAAAATATTCAGGATTGTGACACACATGCTGGGACAATTGTTGTGTGAACTGACGTATTTGTTTATTTCAATATAATAACAGTAACATATAGATTTGTGTTGTACAAAGAGACTGAATAAAGTATTAGAATCCAAAGATCATCTAATTATTATAATTATCGTGTCAAAGCTAACAAAATTCTCACTAAGACGGTAAATCTATAAACATTTATATTCGTAAGTGAAAGAAATACTTAAGTTTGTGTCAAGTTCATACGAACACAAACCTCATAAAATAATACGTATTGGACGGAGGCCAAAACTAAACATTGAGGTACTGTCATCGTAAAAATTACGGAAGTGTTGGAATTCAAGCCCTAACTTGCCGAATTAGGTGACCTTCGACAATATCGTTCTGTGACGTGTTCATTGACGGTTAAGTAGGACCGGTTGGGTTCGCCGAACTAGGCGGAGCAGTAGTGTTGTGTGATGGTGTAAAATGCATTTGCCATACGAGTCCCGGGGCCGACGGCGCCGTGAGTTAGCTGATATGGAACCGTGGTGGTTGCAGTCTATCATCGAAGAAGCCCTACAAGAGTATCCTGATCTAGGTAAACTTTCTTTCGTTTCAATTATGATTGGAAAACTATACCTACAGGTTTTACTGCTTTCATACAAAAAAAAAATATTTCTTATAAGCTTAATTATATATTTTTATTTTATTCTATCTGCTTATTTTAATAAAAATATGTTAAATATAATATGAAAAAATATGAATTTCATATGAATGGTTTTTCTGAGAGGAAAAATAGCCTCAGTTATTCCTAATGTAGACAGCTACCTGGTAGTAAAATATTATCAAAATCGGTCTAGCCGTTTAGAAGATTACCCGGAACAAACAGACATTCAGACAGACAAAAAAAAACTGGCTTTAAGGCAGAGGTATCGTGCAAATAACCGTGCGAGCATGAATAAAACCTATAATTTGGCATTAAAATTTTGTATAGATTTATATATTATACACGTATATATTAAACCGTATATGTTAGTCTACTTAAAAATGAATTAATAGAAAAATACAAACAAAATTGAACACATTAAGCATGCCTTTCGCAAAACAGAAATGTGCATAAGAAACATTAAAAGTTACCTGTTATTAGGTATGTTACTTGAATAGGAACACATAATCAAATAAAAGATATTCTGTTATTGTCAAATAAGTAGTTAATAAAAGTAAACATGCATTATACTATTCGCTACATTTAGAGACTATAATTTCCTAACTTATAATTAAATAATCTCTGATTTACCTCAGCTCGTTAAGAAATGTCAGTAACCCCGTATGTTTTATATACTCGTTTGTCTCCTCATACTGTACTATACCTATCACCACCACTTTACACAACATCACCACACACTTTACACAACATCACCATATATACATAATGAACGCGACTTTTATTCTCAAGATGCTGTTTAAAAATTTACAAACCAAAAGAAAAATACATTAGATATTCTAAAGTGTTCAAAACTATTATAATCTTCGTCATCATCAACAGCCTTTACTAGTCGAGTGAAGTTTTCCTTCTCTTTGCAATGTTGTTCTCCTGCGTCGTTACCCACGTACGACACTAACGGGATGAATAGGGATGATGACACTCCGTATTCTTAATCTGTAACCACGCGTACCATTATTAGAGGAGGATCCCTATGAAGGAATCGAACCCATGCCCTCGGGTTAGCAGCCAGGGTCACTAATCACTTAACCAACAGGCCAGTCATGCCATATTATTTTTCCATTCAACTTTTATAGCTGTAAGATTATAAAAATACCTGCTATATTTCCAGTTCAGATTCTTTCTGATAATGAGAATTTTATAACAGAAAACCTAATCGATGTTCGCCAAACATTATCTCTATTACAAACGTATAGGTAATCTTGTTAATTTTAATTAAAATAAAAAAACATGCGCTAGTGATACAACTTAAAAACAAAGCAATAACTTTTTTACGTATATGAAGTGGTTTTATTTCTTTATTATTTATTATAAACTAAAAACATAAAGCCTACTCAAATTAAAGATCTTATACACAGATAAACTGATGCTCAAGGAAAAGACATCAACGCGGCTCCAGGGACAATTGAATAATATATTCGAAATGGTCGTTTCAGATAGCAAAAACTTTTCATTTACACACTTACAGTTACATAAGCGTAATATCGATAATTAAAGTGAACCCAGACTACAACAGACTAAATTGAAATGTGCGTTTGTATGTTTCTATGCGAGTTTAAATGCAGAACCACTGCAACGCGTTTTTTTTTTAAATCTTTTACATTTGATAGTTTTTAAATAGCTGATAAAATTCGCGCAATGATAGGTGTTAATTACACATCGACAATTTAAAAAAAATTGTTAAACAAAACCTTTCAAATTTTTAGTTTAATCTCTTTTGACAAAATATCGGTTTTCCACTATAAATAAAGTGTGTAAACATAATTCTAGTGATAATAATTAAATCTGACCTTAACCTATCTGAATCAAAATTTATATTGACTGAGTTCTAAATAGAAACCGGAAATAAATTAATTGCATCATTCCGATGGAGCCTAATGGAATTTACCATTTCGACAGATTAATATATTGAGCAATAACAAAAACGAACTTTTCTAAAATATTTATCTTTTCTTCTCCTTAGCAATGATTAGCAGTCCCTGATGATGAAATTTGCAACACATCCTTGAAAATTAACCGTTAAATATTGTATTCTTAAAGACTGCAAATCATTTCAAATATGTATTTTACATTATATATATATACAACCATGAACAATAAATATTATTATTATTAACAGTTTCCTCTGACCAGTCATGAATATAATTTGGTACAATATAGCTTATATTCATTACATTAGCTTTTGACATGTAGATAATGAGATCAATGAGATTAAAAAATAGCTCCTTCTTATGCTATGTACTGTGATAAAATCTGGACCTGGATTTCTGATAGTCCCATTAAAATTGTTTGTTTTTACAAATACCTTTATTGGTACTATCAGAGATAGGACACAGGACAGGACTTTTGGCTATGGCGTCTTAAACTTTAAAACCGTCAAATGTAAAATTAAGCTCACGGCTCCGTCCGCGTGTATGTTGGTTATCGCGGTAAAAAGAAGCATGTCTTGTTCCTCAAGAATCAATCTATCTCTTTAGCTAATGGCATCTAAATCGATTCAGCGTTCATTAATACCCTTACAAAATTCCACCTACCTTTTCACTCCCTTAAAGGGTGATTTCTGGGATAAAACTATCCTATATCCTTTCCCGGGACTCAAAATATTTCCAGAACAAATTTCATCTAAATCGGTTTATTGGTTTAAGCGTTAAGAGGTAACTGCCAGACAGACACACTTTCGCATGTATAACATTAGTATTGATAGCGAATGTGGGCATTTAACCGTGAGGGAGCCATACTTCGGCACAAATAGGCCAGATTAAGCGGAGTGATACCATGGCCTCACAGAAAACCGGCAACCAAACCTTTCGTTATATTTCACCGAGTAAATGATGTTAATGAAGACCCAACCACCCCCTTAACCCTGAAATCTGACGCGTATTGTCTCTATACCATAAAAAAAATTAAAGGTTCGCACATCAATTGTAACCGTTAATAGAACATAGAAGAAACCAGTATGAGAACATCGTAAGAGCATGCTGTATTGAAGCACCGACCGTATAAACAAACGTGGAACCCAAGCGCGATTATTCACCGAATTCACAACTCACGCATGCGTCGTTAAGGTCACATCAACCTAACACGATTGGTTTAATTCATTCTGAACGTCGCCGTATCTGATGAACAAATATATGCATATAGTAGACGTAGAATGCGTGAGATGACTTTAGTTTCAACTAAATCTCGCCCAAGGTCACTGGTGTCTATTGGCGTTTATTAACCAACGCCAACTTTGTTGCCAACCAACTTTGTTTTTATTTATTTTATTGTATAACTACAATAAAATAAATATAAACAAAGTGTTCTAAAAATAAAAAAAAAACAGCTTCGTATTCATTATATTTGCTGGTAATTCTCATCTTGAATAAAATATTTATTCAAATTCACTTAAATAATTATCTTCAATATATCTGAGATTTGTTTGATGAACTTGTTGAATAGTGTTTGTTTACTTTGCTGTATGCCGGCTAAAAAGGCCTCACTACATTGCCACGGTAAAACCGGAGGGTTTTACCGACTGCCTCTTAGTGTGATCTATTGAATTTAATTTGTATAAATAGTCCAAAATGTAAAATATATAAAATTCGCATATTCTATTATAAATGTATAGGTTATAATCTGTTTCATAATATGACAATTGCGATTTCTAAAATTCTTCTTGAGCTATGTATCATAAGTAGGTAACCCTTCCAAAGTAGGCCTAAAATATACTGTGTGTAAATTGCCCACTACTACTAATAAAAAAAGTTACTCTCGGTACTACACACGACACTTAGTAACTGTTTTAGCAAGTATACTAACAGATTAGTGTGTTTGAAGTTATTTATTTCCAATGTTGTTTGTTTGTTCCTTTTCACGACTCAATCACTGAACTGAAAATGGTATACCTGGTATACAGAAAAGCACATCCCTTAAAAAGTTATATATCCAGGAAAAAAGTAATTTTCATGCGGAATAAAAGTTCTATACTCGCATCGACATCAACGAAATAATGTTTTCGCAAACAAGGCCATGCAATATTAGTAATCAATGACACGAACAAAAGTGCGAATTAGGCAACCCCCTTATATCTGGTGACTCACTTTATTCGCTTACCATATGCGTATATCAATATAAATAATATGAACAAACATAAAATATTGACATATGTCTATATATATACATAAGTACTTGTCATATTTATTCATTATTAGGTTTTACCCGCCGCTCCGCCCGCGTGTATTTCGGTTTTCATGGTAAAAAGTAGCCAATGGTACTCGCTGATAATGTACGAGTAGCTTTCTATTGGTGAAAGATTTTTTTTAAATCAGATCTTGGTTTATGCATGAAAACGTAACAAACAAACTAACTAACAAACTCACTTCCTCATCTATATATATATATAAGAGATTTCCACGTATATAGTCACTCATCACGATATCTCTGGAACCATTAGAGCTAAAGACTTGAAATTTGGTAGGAATATTCTTTTCACCCAGTAGAGGTCAGCTAAGAACGGATTTTAAGAAATTAAAAAAAAAAAATAGTAATTAAATAATGTAAATAGCAAAACAACGTTTGCAGGGTCAGCTAGTTTATAATATAAGTATGAATGTTATTTACATCAAAATGCATATCGACGGTACTTTATTTCAGTTTTGTCAATTGTAGAAGTACCTATTCCCTATACTCAGGAGATCAGAACCGAATCTAAATCTGACAAATAAAGAAAAAAATAATTCTAAAGTGCCACACCCGGCAAATTAGATTAAACGATCTTATCTATCTGATTAATTTTGTAATGTAATTATTTTGCCAAATTTTTCTAATACTTTGTTGTTGGAATATTGTGGTCGTGAAAACATTAACAGAGGTCTTCAACTCCAGGACCAGAATACTATTGCAAATGTGTTCTGTTCTGTACTTTTGACATGACAACAACCGCATTCGGTTTTTGAAAACTTATTGATCCCTGTAAATCTAGTGATCCAAAATTACACTAAAACAAAGAATAGCATTTGTAAAATAATTACGATATCATAATGTTCGCACGGTTAAGTGTTTAGTGAAAAAAAAAGAGAGGGAATATAAATAAACGCAGGGGTACACATGCTCGGGTAAAGATTTTCTTAGTATTACACATTCTATACTTACTATTGAAAATAGTCGATTATTTAATGTTAACGATCAGCTGTGAAAAGTTAAAATTTTTAAGCTGTGAAAAGTTAAAAAGTTAAGATTTTAGATTGTTTATCATTGGTTGATTTTTCATTAAAGACAAAAAGCATTTTTTTTCCAAAACTTGAAAGAACCTCTAAAAGACTACTGGCGAAGCAGCGGGCTATAAAATAATAGGAAAATTACCGAGAATGACCAATCAAAAAATGTAAAGCCTTGTATAGAATTAGAAAATGATGAAGATAAGGAGGTATTTATTATGACTTGTTATTAGTTTTTCCAACCTTTCAGTAATACCAATTTGCTCACTAAAATAGTTTTTATTATGTTTATAATTTGAGAACTTTATCGTCCTCACTTAGTAACAATCTATGGGAAAACTTCTTTAGTTAATTATTTAATATCACTTGTCAGTTGTAATTATTTTTTCCTCCTCTCTTTTCTTACTAGGTTTAGAAAATACGCAACTATGATGATGAGCACGATCATTTGTTCTGTGTCTGAGTACAATTTATCTATAATATGTATGTATTTAGAAATATATAAGTATGTTTATCAGCAGTCTGGTTAAATGGCTGTCTCATCCCAAACTAGGCAGAGCCTGTACTATACAGGCTCTGCCTAGTTTGGGATGAGACAGCCGTGTGTGAGTTATCTGAGGTTATTATTATTATTATGAATCGCCGTACAGTGATACTGTAAATCTCTGTAAAGTAAAAAATATATTGTGTATAAAAATAAAAGTTTCAAAAGCACTTACTCTAACTTACCGATCATTTTTGACGTTCTGTTAATTTGAGCATGCATTTTGGCTATACTTTCTTCTTCGCTTAGTTCAAGCTAAAAATATTAATAATCATTGAAAATAATGGCTTTTGTGTATTTAAATAAAAATACTGCTTAATAAAACGTCAATTTGATATCACCGTATGACGATTACTAATTCGATATTTTTATAAAATAGTAAGAGCGTATATTTTATTTTATACAAACAGAATTATATTTCACATCGCTTATTTTATTGAATTTTATTGAAATATTATGTATCATGAAAACGTTTTGCTGGCCACCGAACGATTGACTTTCATTCAATACCCAAAATTTAATTGAATACCTCCAGTTAAAATACCATTTTTATTGATTAAACCAATACAAAGAACTCAATAAATAAATAGAAAAATACGTGACGCGATAATACTTCTTTTATTTTGTTCTTAGATATTTTAGACGGTTACGAAAGATCCAAACTACGACTGTGCCGCACAAATACCTTTTACAAAATCTTTGACCGCACCTAACCCGCAGTCTGTGGCTCCATAATTCCTATATGCCATTGGCTTCCGTAAATAGTGAAACCGCATTTACACCGTTAATGTTTTTATGATTCCCCGACCCGTTATACCATGATTTTTTGATACGGTCCATAGTGTGAACGGTATAACCGCATCCTAATTAGGATTATGTTTACATTAGAAGACGATTAAGGTTTATTACAAAATATACGCAAGTGTGTTTATGCCTTAATTTTTGGTTAAAAAAACCACATTTACTTTTTCACATTTTTTTGACGACCGAATGGCGTAGTAGTTTGTGTAATGGACTGCTATTCCAAAGGTCGCGGGTTCGATTCCCGCTCAAGTCAAATATTTGTGTGCATGAACATTTAATGTTTGAATTGGTCTGGGTGTTTTTATGTATAATAAGTAAGTATTTACAAAAAAAAGTATTTATGTATTTATATCAGTTGTCTAGTACCCATAGTACAAGCTCTGCTTAGTTTGGGACTAGATGCCGATGTGTGAATGTGGTACAATAACATATTATTATTATTATTATTATATTATGTGTTATGTACAGAGAGTCTAGCACTCATGTAAGGTCGGTCACGGGAAACACTGATCAATTCAGTGTCTCTGTAGGCTTGCACCAGGGATCAGCTCTGAGCCCATACCTCTTCCTGTTGATAATGGATGCTCTGACATCGGACATACAGGAGGAGGCACCTTGGTGCATGCTATTTGCAGATGACATTGTGTTGGTCGGTGAAGATGGGGTTGAGGTCCAGAGCAGACTGGAAAAATGGCAGGAAAGGCTGGAGAATGTTGGCTTGAAAATCAGCAGAACCAAAACTGAGTACATGTTCTGCGATTTCGGCGGTCTCTCCAGTCCTGAAACCTTTTCGCTGGATGGGATAGCGATAACAGTCTGCTCCAATTTCAAGTACCTCGGCTCCCTCTTACAATGTGATGGTGAGATTGATCGAACCGTACAGCATCGAATCAATACGGGATGGATGAAGTGGCGGCAGGTTCCGGGAACAACTTGTGACCCCAGTTTCCCCTTAACACTGAAGGGACAAATTTATAAAACTATTATCAGACCTGCCGTCCTGTATGGCTCTGAAAGTTGGCCCATTAAGAGAACGGATGAGAGACGCCTGAACGTAGCCGAAATGCGAATGCTGAGATGGATGTGTGGTGTGACTCAGATGGACAAGGTTAGGAATGAGTATATACGAGGGAGTCTGAAAGTAGCGCCACTGGATGAAAAGTTAAGAAGTAATAGGTTATCTTGGTATGGACATGTCATGCGGAGGGATGAGGAAAATGTGGCGAAGAAAGTTTTAGGTATGAGAGTTGAAGGGTACAAGAGAAGAGGCAGACCGAAGAAGAGGTGGATGGACTGCGTCAGGGAGGATATGGCTAGGAAGAGAGTAAACAGTGAGATGACGCATGACAGAGTAGAATGGAAAAACCATACATACTGTGCCGACCCCAAATAAAATTGGGAAAAGGATAGGCAGATGATGAGCATTAATTATTTCTTGTATTACATAACAATATTAAAATGATGATGATGATGAAAAAGATTAATCTTTTTTTTAATATTTTAAACCATATTTCTTTCATTCTGCCTCAAATATATATTTATACTTACCTTAAAACTTAATACGCTCTATGATCAATCTCTATGAAAACTCAAACATGTCTTTATAGAAATTGACATTGATCATTGATTGTAATCGTTATAAACGAGTAAATATTTTCACTACATTCATTATGGATATGCATTTTTAATATTCTAAGCAATTAGAATGAATTATATGTTTTTGATAAGAAATTGATAATTTGAGGAATTTCCTTTCTTGTCTGATTGTAAAACATAAATGACTCTCTAAGCGGGTGTTGGCCCTCATCTCGTAAAATCATGATCACAATCAGATCATGTCTGAGTGTGAATGCTTAATGTTCGGCCCTTGTAATGTGATTAATTTTTGTTGCTTTGACTTTTTAATGTTTTTGATCTAGTGGCAAGTGTATTGGCTATTTAAAGGAACGCGCTATTTTAAATCAAACAAGAATTGATCAAATTTGATTCCGATGTTATCTGAAGTAATATTTGCAACTTTCACGACGGTTAATAAATAAAGAAATCTAATAAATCTGTTGTACTTTTGTTTAAAATCCTTTTCTTTTCAATGAATGGATAAATAAATACCTATCATTTAAAAAATAAATGAACTTGTTTACTACTAATGACTATGGCTATGTTGCATAATCTTTTTTCTGAAAATAAAGTCGAAAAAAATCTGTTAGGAAGGTGAGTCATACCAACTTAAGCAGGTAAACCCCCTTAAGCTTATATTCTGTAATTCCGATACGGCTATACAGAAAGTTTTTAAGTTTACGTTTTATTACATAACATTCATTACATCTGGTCTGGAGAAAATCAGTCTAAGTCAAGAAAATGTGGTTAACTCGGCCTAAGTCGATTTAGAAATCAATATTTGTTTATTCATATATTATACGTTGCTGTTTAGTACCCAATCATTATGGTATATATAGATACACGTTGTACCTATTAGCAGGGAAATCGAGAATTACGTGGGGTACGTATTATCCTGGCAAAGAGGGATAACTCACGCTGCCTGGGAAGGGAACCTTTTTATCTTTATAAGATTGCAATTTCCTCAATTAAGAAGTTGAAGCGTAAAATTAGTTAACTTTAAGGTATTGAACTTGCTTTACACTTGATTTAGTGGGTTGGGATATAACTGGCTGCCTATTGATGGGATTAACGATGCAGGTAAATATGAACAATTAAAAAAAAATAAGTTCACATAGCTAGTAAGAATTATAAAATGTATCATTTTCATCACAAACAATCATTTTCTAAGAAAAAGTAACAAACATTGAAGACATCATGTCATCAAAACAAACAGTGCGCTACTTAAATTCCACTCAAATGTTGTTAAGTTGAATTAATAATTAAAACTCAACTAAAAAAAAAACAAATTAGATAATTTTCAATGACCTTGCCAGTTTTGCCGGTGTATCGGTACATCCAGAAGATTAACTTTCCATACGTAATTTTAAAGCTTATATTCCTTTGTCGACAGTGACAACGGGCAGTCCAGACTACATGTGTTCAAAGCTGCCAACACACTGGCGATCAAACAAGACATTGCCTGGAGGGTTTAAGGTTGTAGCACTTGGTGATGTGCTCGATGGTACCTTGGTGACGGTCAGGGCTGGCAACGACGAGAATTGTTCCGCCGAACTGAGGAACAATTCGGCGGTGATGAAAAATAGGGTTGCTAAGTTCAATGATTTGAGGTTCGTCGGCAGGAGTGGAAGGGGTGAGTTTTTATATTTTATTAGCATATAATTTTGTGTATACCAAGGTATGGCAAACCATGCCGATGTCGACAATTCTGCCAAGGTCGGAAAAATTCTTTTATGAATTAAAAATACAAATCCTACCAATCAATCTCTTGTGACTCCTGAGTTGGAGTTCATGGGTGTCGGTAGTCACTTTCCATCAAGTGACCCGTCTGCTCGTTTGCATCTTATAATAGCAAATAGTAGTCCTAAACCTTAGGTAGATAAAGTTTTTTGTTTTGTACTATTTTATTTAGCATCAATCCATATAGTTTTCATCCTGCACCATTTCATTCTGTACGACGAACTAGGCTCTGGCAACCGACCGATGGTGGTATATCCATTAAAATTGGCGTACCTAGTTAAATACAACAGGCCGGGAACTGGCAGCAGCGTCACCGGTGAGACAAACTACGCTCTGCTGTGGATTTGCCTAAAATCGCAACGCAGATGGCGTTGCGATTTTGGGCACTCCTCCTCATGCAAACGCAACATGCATTAATGCAATCTAATCATTATGTTATTAACGCATAATTACGAATGCACCAGAGTCTATTGCAACTATTCAAGTTAGATTGCTAGAAAGACATAGCAGCAGCGACAATAAAACAACTTTTAATCAAGCTACTCCTACCCTCCTCTCAAATCTTCTTTTTGTGTCCGATATGTGAGATATATATTAATCTCACGTGACCTCAAAGTCTTAAAATCAGTCTTCTCATAAATACTGCCGCTAAGAGCAGCCGACTACAACCTTCTCCCGTCTTCTTCAATTACTTTATCAATCTAAAAATGCTTAAAAATATGTACGAATACAACTTTTATTATATATACGCTATTCACAAACTAACGAACGACCTTGAAAACAATCGCCTCCTAGCTAAAATATTGCAACAAAAGATATGAAAAACCCTTGAAACGTCATAAAAAAGTTGGGAAACTCATGGGTGACGCATCATAGATCCGTGACGACAACCTGCGCAGGCGCGCTACGTATGACTTCACACAACCGGTTTTACACTTATCGTGACGGTGTTTAAATATTTATATAATCATGTCCGAGTGAGATGAGGCTAATATTGGAATCGATAAATAAATGTCTATGCTTGTGGATTTATTTCTTACTGGCACACTCAGTTGGTAAAACTGCATATTATCACCTCCAAACTTATTTTACTTTTCTTCGGTATTAAAATTAATGTTACCATCAAATGATGTTTATAAAACTACACATAGACCTTGTCACAATATAAACCGGCCAATGGACTTAGTCTACAACAAAACCTATTATTATACCTAATTATAATCATTCCTTTTTTACCTTTTTTGACCCTTTGGCTAATCATATTACCCGAAATCTTCGCATTCGCAAGACTTAGAAGTAGATACTTCCACCGACTCACGCAATGAATCGCTGGAAGTACCTTTCGTCACCTTTTACAAAATTTGGTTTTTCGCGATACAGGTAATTCCTATTGTACATATGTACGACGACATATATATATATATACGTTTTAAGTAGTTCCGGTGACTATTTGCGTTTTCATTATCTGCTTCATTTCACCAATTCTTGCTGGGAGTAATCATCATCCAAGTCACTGGTTTACCTATAATACTTAAAGATTTCCTTTTACTGCTCCAGAATCCCACCCTAAAGTCCTAACCCGATTAAAATAGAAACAATTAGAAAGTCAATTCTTTTAACCAAAACAGGACTTTTGTAAATCGGTCCAGCCGTCTTTCGACAATCCGACACATAGCGAGCATTCTTCTTTCTTTAAGTCGGTTTAAAAAAGTAGAGTAATGTATATTTTATTACACAAGAATTTATGAAATAAATAAATTTATAAAATATAGGAGAACATAGCCTCTAAAAAAAAAAACAATCTTGCAAATGAAACTCACGGCGAATTCGATTGTTGATGACAGAATGCCAATACATAATTATATGGCAATTATGAAATGTTTATCACACTAAGTACAGTAGGTCATGATGGCAGCGATTGTGGTCTAGCACAAACAACCGTGGTTTGTAACCAAGATACCACCACTAATTAAATACAATACAAAAAATGTTACTCAGATACTTTGTATTCGATGTTCGTTTTTTATGATATTATCGATTAAGGATCTTATTATTAGCCACAAAAAGTTTTGTTTTATTATTCTGAGCATGTTAATCCCGTACAACAATAATAATTGGGTTTTGCCACAAGCCTATTGAATTGAATAGTGATTGAATACAATCTCGCCGACATCTGTGTTTAATGTTGTTTTTTACTAGGTAAGCCTATCTCAATAGTCCCTCTATGGTCTTTTACTGAACTCAACGTTATTTTAGTATACAATATTTTGAACTGGATTTAAAAATTATCGTTTTGTTTAAAAAACTGATTTACTTTTTTTTTACATCCTCACCTCACACAGGGCCAAACTAGACAGAGTTTGTACTATTATAACCAGAATGCAAATAAACATACTTAAATCTGACTACATACATACTTACATATTATTGATAAATTATACCCAGTCACAGAAACAATAGTCTTACTCAGAATACATACATACATACAGAATACATACACACATAGGTACACAATCAATGTGTGGGCATTGAACTTTTAACTTTTAGCTCTAAAGTCAATCCCACAAGACCTAAATCCTTATTCCTATCTAATCCTTAAATAATATTCGTTCACAATATACATACTGACTAAGGAAGCAAATTACGTAAGGCAACAGCACCAAAGAGAAGGAAAATTAGATACAAACCCGATTCCAACCCATCTGGCCAGCGTGGTATAGTAGTTCCTTCTTTCTAAGAAGAAGCCTATGTCCAATGAATGTACAAAATCCTTAAGTTGATAAGAGTAGTAGTGAAAAAAGAGAAAGGGCACATCTTGAGGGCCATTCAAAAGAACTGCAAAGTGGTGAATAAATACATAATATTGCAACATTACTGATATCAAGTACTCATAGTATACCTAGCGAATATTCAATGCTGATTCTTATGTTCAGTAAGTCATGAGCAGAAGTAAAAATGGGCGTAGCTATATTATAAAAAATTGTGTGTAATTACGTATCTAACATAGTTAATCGAATAAAATAAAATTAACCATCACGCGATTAAGACCCCGTTCCACGAGTCCCCTTCATAAACAAAATAATGGTTTGCGGTGAGGGAACGCGCATTTTCTAAATCACGAATATGATAACTCGTATTTGCCGTTAACCTATTACCATAGTGTCTATTAGTAGACGATTTGTTAGCAATCTGCAAGAATATGATAATAGGAAACACGAAAAAGTGTTTCCACGCAATTTATACCATCTAAAGATGACTTTACACTTACGAAAATGAAATTAATTGCAAAAGGTTAACAAATCCTACACATATTTAATGATGGTATCGTTCAATAAAAGTCAGTGTGGTAAGTACATAAACCACACAGTGTTATTAGTGGGCAGAGATCTCCAATTATAATTTTACAGTATGTTAGAAAAAAGTGTGATCAAATTTTGTAATAGGTACTTTTGTGTATTTAGATTGACTAGGTTGAAAAAAATAATTTTGTTTTTTTTTTTTTTAAATGTATATAAAAAAAAGAAAAATAAATTTGAAACTAAACAAAATAACCAAGTTGAAAGTACAAGATTTTGTGTGAAATTGTGTAGTGTTTTAAGTTATCTACGAGGTCTTCTGTACGATCAATACTTTTTATAACATAGAAAGAATGTGCCGACTGGTATTTCACCAGCTATATTTTACGAAAATATTTGTATCTTAATATAATGACAGAATTAGTTTATCATATAAACCTTAAAAATAAATACTAACATATACGTGCTACGTGTGGAGACGGATTAAGAATACGGAGTGACACCACCCAAATTCATCCCGTGGGTGTCATAAGAAACGACCAAGGGACCAAACTATGCGGGACAACAGCACTGCAAAGAGTAAGAAAACTTGACACAAATCCAATACCAACCCGTCTGGCCAGCGTGGTCTAGTAGTCCAAAAACTCCTTTCTAAGGAGAGGCCTATATCCAGCAGTGGATTATTAATGGACGATGATGATGTTGATGATGATATACAACAACCTATTGTTTTGTTCACCATTAGCTTTAAACCGCGGCTTTTTTTAAATTATTTCAGATTTTGTCAAACTGTTTTTATAAAAATAAGTAAGTAGGATAAAAAGTTGTCTATGTGTTCACGACTATCATCTATAACTGTACTTAAACTTTCGCTTATATTATAGTAGAAAGATAGTGTTTTTTTTTTTACCTGTAGTAAATATTTATTCCAAAAATAACCTTTCCAAAGTATTGTAGTGTGATGATTTACAACCGGATATATAATATATATATATATTATTGTTCGAGAAACAGAAAGAAAAAAATGAAAAATGTTATTAGAATATGTGTAATCGATGGGTGTAATTATTAGCAAATTAAAATAAATATAAAACTCAATTTCCATATTATACACATGTAATATGTACAGATATAAAATGCCAAGTTTCATATTAAACTTTTACTTAGCTGACGTATATTTTACTGAATTATTGAGATTGCGGTGACCGTGGTCATAAATAGAAAGATTTAAATTTTTACTAAAACTCATTAGGAGAATAAAGACTAATCAAATAAATAACGGCATAAAAATTTGTTAGTCAACTCTATAATGTTTGGAAACATGGAACTGGCTTAATACATCAAACAGCATAAGTGTGTGACGTCAAAAATCTTAGTTATCGCAAACTACAGGAAAATTACGGGAAGTAACATAAATAGCTCATGATCGTTTATAAATATAGCAGTTAGCAAAAAACATAAATAAACATGTTAATAGAATAATTGTATTCATATAATCGTATTGTCGTCATAAACATATATATGATGTATGATGCGAAGATTTAAACAGATTACTGTAATCTTTGCTAACGTTTTTGCCCGTATAGTGTTGCCACAA